GTGAAGCTTGAGGTAGGACACGAATGGGAGTGATAGCAGCCACGTTGGCGCTAGTCCCGATAACACTGAGCTGTGTCCTAGAGTCGATAAGCTTCTTCCTTTTAGCTTCGACGATGAGGTCGAAGCGTTGAAGAAAGTCTATGCCTATGATGGCGAAAGGCACGGCAGCGATTATGAAAGGCCAGCGAAAGGTTCGCCGGAGGCCTAAATTGAGCGTTAGCAGCTTTTCGCCGAAAGTTGCGATTGGTGTGCCATTGGCGGCACGCAGCTTGGTCGGCGATGGTGAGACGACCTCATCTGGGCTACGGGGTATAACGCTAACTTCGGCTCCAGTGTCGACTAGGATCTCGGTGCCGGAAGTTAAATCCATAACGCGGATGAGGCGACTTTGGTGTTGGCCGGTCGCGTCCGTCGCCGTTACGGACCGGCCGAGAAGTTTCCCTGCTTCTCGGCGAAATTGCAAGGCTTTACACATTTATGAGCTGCGGTACCAAAGCGCTGATGGTACCAACAGCTAGCCTGCCTGTTGCTAGACTTAGAACGTTTGAAGGGCGATTTGAGCGGCTATGACGACGACGGTTCATAGTAAGCTGTTGGATCTAGCGACTAAGTGTCGCAACTTGTGTTTGCAGGGCTTCTATAGTTGACTGTAAGCCAGTGATAGAAGTGCCCTGGGACGCGACGGCATTGATCTTGCTGGTGTCGGCTTGTGGCTGTGATCGTTCAATAACTCGATCCGCTAAATCTGCTAGTTGAGTGAGCGAAACGGAGCTCACTGTAGCGAGAATCGCTTGCGTGTTTTCCGGTAGCCGTTGTAGCCATAGTTCGCGAAGTAAAGTCTCGTCCATGGTTGAGGAACCAAGGAGTTGCTGCATCTCTCGTAGCAGGGTTGAGGGCAGTTTGTCGCCCAGCTGCAGATCCCTGAAAAGCTGCTGCAGGCGAACTTTCTCAGAGGGCATAACACGCTTATCGTGGCCTCCTTGAGAGCCTCATAGCGGTTTTCGGTCTGAGAAATGATGACGTCACGAACCTGCATTGATATCTCTTTGGGGAGATAGGACAGGAGCTTGCAATACTTCGCGTAGTCGGAAGTGATTCTGTGGTTGTAAAACTCAGCCTCAAGATGAGCGAACCACAAAAGAGGATCCATGTCCCAAAAAGGTGGTACAGAGAGAGATACAACGCTAAGCAGAGACTCTACCTTATGGTCTACAGATTCCATGGCTTAAAAATGACGCAAAAAATAGGCTACCGTATGCAAAAATAAACCGGAAAATATGAAAAATAAATGGAACGAGCTCACCGGAGAAAAGTTCGAAATATCCGGCGCTGAGATTGTTCCGGAGTCGGGGTCACCAATTTAGAGGGTCGCCTGTACCGGGAGCCCAGAGAGCGATTCGAGAAGACGGATCGAGTTGCAGGGAAACTTTTATTGGTACAGTAAAAGATTCCCTGTTATCTAGCTATAAAAGAACGACACCGTGGACGCTCTAGCTAGGGGAACGGAGCAAGCACAGCACACAGGGCAGTTGCGAGTTGCAACCGAAACGAGCGCCAAGCAAAAATGGCGATGAGCAAGTCAAGCATTCGAACTCAGCAATCAGTTCAACAAACCACACCGGTTGCCTAGGTGTACAATGAAATAATTTTAGTTAGAATTTTACACAGGCAAACCGGGGAATCTCCAGACTGCTACCAAAAATGAACCATGTTTTACCAGCAAATACATGATTTGTTTGTCTGTGGATGTCCGAGTGATGCATATTTTGGATGAAGTCCATTTACGCAGAAACACGTTTCTGTGTAGTCTTAATATACGCTACAAATATATCTTTTTGGTTGCAAATAGCTTCCCACTCATCGGAAAGTATAGAGGTAGTGAATACTAGTCTGAGACGATGCGCTGAAGATCAGAAGGTAAATTAAGTCGAACACCATCATCGTGATTATAAACGTTAGCTGCATGTGGAAGAAACATCTCAGCTTTTGTGCCGCAAAACAAGTTCAAGTTTAGTTTATGACCGACACGATAGGATAATCCCGTGAATGTTCCTTCTTTTGCGTATCGTCGGATCGGGAATTGATAGGTCTGCTTGAGATGTTGAAAAGCCTAAAACAAAGACCGCATCACACCCTGTCCAACCAATTACTGCCCACATTTTCCTGCCCAGCAGTCCCTGCCAGGCCGGTTTATGTGAAGTAAAAGAGTGAAGGGTAAGCTAAGAAAACAAGAGGAGGAATGTCAGCTAAATAATGATAATACCAAGGTGTGAGAAGAAATTAAAAAAACGAAGGGAAAGTTGAAGATACAAGTCGGTTAGGAGAAGGGGAAGGTTTGGTACTGCCACCCAAGAGCATCTAACTGACGCTCGAAACCCTCTACCGTAGACTCCCTAACGACGTGCTCCGGAAGCGAGTTCCAACGTTCAATAACTCGGCGCGACAAGCGAGTTTCCGTCCTTACCCGGTCAGAACGCAGTTTGTGCAGCTTCAACGGGTGACCTCGGAGACTAGGCAGCTTGGCGGGACTAAATAGCCAGGACAAGTCTGGACCGATCTTACCCGTTAAGATACGGTAAGTGAGGATCAAGTCTCCTCTAATTCTGCGGTAGTGCATTGAGTACATACCCAAGCTAAGCAAACGTTCGGGATACGTTTGCCCCCGTAATCCCTGCACTAACCTTGTACCCACTCGCAAAACCCTCTCCAGTTCCATTTTGTCCCTTACAAGACAAGGTGGACAAGCCTGGATACAGTACTCTAAGTGGGGTCGCACAAAAGCTGAGAACAGCTTCACAAAAATATTGGCCGTTAGGACACCGAAGGAGCGGCGAATAAACCACATCATACGGAACCCTCTACAAGCAGCCTTCCTCCAATTGTCCCCAGAGTGAAGCAATGAGGTGTGGGTGATACCTAGATCAACCTGCTGAGTGACAACAGGGAGTTCACTTCCACCAACTACATAGCGCGTGGGAGGACTAGCACCTCCAATGCGGAGGACAGAACATTTCGCCTGATTTATAGGCATCAACCATAAGGTTGACCAATCCCAGAGCCTATCCAAGGCACTCTGAAGTGCCTCAGAGCCACCAGGGATATCCACAATATTCCAGAGCTTGAGGTCATCAGCAAACAATAGCGACGGTACTTCAAGCTCCTGGGGTAGGTCATTGACATAAATTGCGAAAAGCAACGGCCCTAGAACCGAGCCCTGCGGAACGCCACTAAGAACAGCTTGTCTAAGCGAAAGGCTACGCCCCACGCGTACACACTGTTCTCTCCCCTCTAGGAAAGCAGAAACCCATTTAAGGGCGGCTCCAGATATCCCATACGATCTCAACTTCAATGAGAGTCGTTGATGTGGGACAGTATCAAAGGCTTTCGAGAAGTCAACGAAAAGCACGTCGATAGCGTGACCGTTGTCTACTGCCTCAGCCCAGCTTTCACGAGCTACAAGTAAATTTGTCAGACATGAAAATCCCTTACGGAATCCGTGCTGTGCCGCACTGAGAAGGTTAAACTTAATCAGGTGATTCTCCACCGAATCCCTGACCAATTTTTCAAACAACTTAACTACTACGCTTGTTAAGCTGACAGGCCGGTAGTTCGCGGGCAGAGCTCTGTCACCGCCCTTAAAAATCGGACAGATGATTGCCTTCTTCCATTCCGAAGGTAAGGCACAGCTGTCGAGTGATATTGTAAACATGCATGTCAGAGGGCCACTTAGCTCAGCGGCCAATTCATGCATCAGCTTCGGATGAATTGAATCAGGGCCAGAAGCTTTGGAAGGATTTAGCCCTTGCAATAGCCCGAAGACTTGTGTCTCCGTTATGCTGATTTCAGTTAGGCAAGAATCCTCTGGGACTTTTGTGACCAGCTCAACCTGAGGTAGAGAGGCCTCACGAGAAAAGACACCAGTATACTGTTCGCTAAGTATACAAGCATTATCATAGTCGGTATGCCCATGGGTCCCGTCCGCTCGTAGTAAAGCCGGTATAGACGAGTTTGTACCGCTGCGTCTCTTTACGTAAGCAAAGAACTTTGGATTTGTTACGGCTGCGTTAGCCAAATCCTCCTCGTACTGAAGACGAAGAGTTCTAAGATGTTGCTTACATTTATTTCTAACCGCTCGATAGCTTTCGTAGGTGCTGGTTGATGAAGCCGCTTGGTAAGTTCGCCAGCACTTAGAGCGCTTCCTGAGCAGGTATTTACCTGTATGATCTATCCAAGGAGGCTGCGCCCGTGTCACCCGTCTCTTAATGAGTGGGATGTGGGGAGCAGAGATCTCGGTGAGGTATGCCTTAAATTTCTCCCAGGCTGTCTCAACGGTGTCAGCCACGGTGATCGCACAACGCAGAACTGAAGCTTTGTCTCGCATTGCGTTAAAGTCTGCCCGCCAAATATTTGGACATGCCTCAGCGGTAGCTTGATGACACTTAGAGCACATCGAAAGGATATGCAGACATGGTCACTGGCTCCTAGAGGACAGCCGTAGGTAATATCACTTACGAAATCGTGTGACTTCGCAAAAATGAGATCCAAGGTAGACGGAATTTGGTTGCGCATATATCTAGTCGGGAGGTCCACGAACTGATGCAAAGGCAGTTGCAATGTTAGCTCGAGGAGATCCGAACCGAAAGTGCCCACCGCCGAACTGCAAGATAGATCAGCCCAGCAGACTTCAGGGAGGTTGAAGTCACCCAGTATTAGACACCTATTGGCAGCCTGAGTACGAATAAATTCAATAACCTCCCTGGAGATACTTCCAGGACTTCGATATACCACTACAACTGTAAACTGAGCAGAGGAAGTGCACACAATAGTCGACAGGGCTTCAACAGTTTGATCCGGCGACTGGAACACACAGGTCCTCAACACATCAAGTTTACAACTCACATAAAGAGCGACGCCCCACCTTGGCGGCCAACGGAGCGATCACATCTAAGCAGTGCGTAGCCAGGTAAACATACTTCACCGTCTGTGATATCCGGGGACAGCCACGTTTCGGTGATAGCAAGTATGTCGGGACGAGATTTGTCTACAAGTAGACCCACCTCGTGTACCTTGTTCCTTAGGCTACGCACATTACTAAGCACTACCCGAAGGAACTCGGCACGACCAGCCCTGGGTCGTACGCTACCAGGAGGGGTTCTGGTAGGGCAGAATTTGACTTCCGGCTGACCACCTGAAAACCCACAAGACGAAGGCCTTGCTCACCAGCCGCCCGCCTGCTCTTGAGGCTTTTGATGGCTTCCTTTAACTTCAGTCGATCTGCCAGTGGGAGGTCCGGCTGAACGCTGACATTACTACCCTTGAGTTTGAATGCAAAGCGCATTAACGCTTTGCGTTCCTCCGGGGTTGAGAGGACTACACGAAGTAGTCGGGGTCGCGGATTTGGCGTATCTACAGGGACGTTCCCCAATCTGGTTAGCTTCCTGATAGTGACACCGGGGAAACCAGGTGGAAGCATCTTGTTGACGCAGAGCTTGAACCACTGGAGGTCATCCAGCATGCGTTCCTTGGGAAGAGCTGCCGCGGATTCAGCAACGTTACGAAAGATAACGCTACTATCAGTAAAAGAATCACCTCGACGAGGCGTATTCACTCCACGAGTCTTCGACTCGACCCCAGTTTCGACCGGTTTGGCAGGTGACACGGCGCGTTTCTTCGCCAAGGGAGCTGGAGTAATTGAGGTTGAGGCTTTGTGTTCTACCTCCAACTCCCTCACCGGTCTAGTCTTTTCAGACTTTGCGGGTGTGGCCGAAGTCGACACGGCGCGTTGCTTCGCCAATGGAACTGGGGTGATTGGAGTTGGAGCTTTGTGCTCCACCTCCAATACCTTAATGGTTTCAGTACCTTCAGGCTTTGAGGGAGCCTTACGGACTTTCTTAGCCCTCTTCCTCTTGCTTTTATTGGGCACAGGGGCTATAAGTTCGGTCTCGCTTTGGACGGCTTCCAGTACGACATCAGAGGCCTCTTTAGAGGCATTCTGGACCGCTGGGCACACGACACGGTAGCCATCACCTCAGTCGGATTTTCATCGACAGCAATTGAGGTTAGTTGCGTGTCTTCCTCCAATGAGCCGACATCAATAGAGACTCCCATTTTCCTCATCAGTAACTCCACTTTGCGATCAAGAGATGTGAGGAAAGACCACAACTGCTGGTTACCCAGCCCGACGTTGCTCGATGTCTCCTCAGTGACCTCAAGACGCGTAGATCGACGGCGACGGCATAGAAGACAATTGAACAGCATGCTATCGCTAGTCGAAAGCATTGCGTACTGATCAGGGCTCAAATCGGTACAGGTCTCATGGTACCAGCAGTTGCATACATAGCACTGCATGCCACCAGACTCGTCCGTCACGGGCTTTGAGCAGCTCACGCTGCCGCATACAGCATTAGATTCGCTGATCAACGCAGCCGAAGACACATTAGCGCCGGTATTCAGTGAATCCGACATGACGCTTTCATAGAGGAGCCGGATACTGGCTCCTCTTTTGTTTACATCAAGTTCAGCCGATTCCTTACGAACAACGGAGTTCAGAAAATGTGTTTGGATCCTTATTATCCGGCGACAAACGAGTTAGCAGAGCAGGAAGTACAGACAGTGAAGCGATGACTGCGGAAACAGCGGGGAGGGATTTTACAGACAAAGCTAAATCGGTTTATACTTGGCTATCGTTTCGCACCTACTAAGAGTACGGGTCTCTTGCAGCGCTGATGTTTGGCCGAATTTACTGTTTCGAAATCCATGCGTCGGGATTAAAGGGGGATGTTACCTTTCTCACCTGTATGGATGCACCCTGATGCAGTCGATGGTATTAAGCCCAATCAGAAGAAATTCTGCCATTGTAAGAAGTAGATTCCAGGAGCGCAAACTGCAACAAATGATCTTTCCCCATAATGGTGGTGAGGCTAACTCAACGGCATTATCAATGCACGGGATGGCTTATTCTTCAGATCATCCAGTGAAAATGTTAATAAAAACTTACATCATGTGGGAAAACTAATAGCGTGAAAAGAAACACTAACTAACTGGAACGGGCTTCAAAATTGAAAATTCAAAATGGCGGACGGCGTGTTCCGCGTCTAGGTCATGATCTGTTGGGTGGCTCATTGGATATGTAAGGGACGTGTTGAACACGGAACAGTAGAGAAGATAGATGCAGTAGGAGCAAACTTATATTAAACATGCTACAAAGACTGGGGAACGAATCAGCATGGGCGAGAAACGTGTAGTGCGGGGCTTTCCAGGACAAAATTGTAAGCGGATGTACACACACTTAAACACACAGGCAGCCACAGGTTACAAACTACAAAGAAATCCAGTGTTGCAAAATACTGAAAGAGGGCATGTTTTCAGGTTTACCACATTGATCACAGTACCTAGATACCTTAGATTTGTAAAATAGGTTGAAGTTTGTGGAAGCAACTGTCTATCGTAATGGCTCGATGTTATGAGAAAGACACTTTCTTTGCGTTAACTTGCGAGCTTTGTGGTAGATGATTTCATTGTAGATCGTTTCACCATAGATAATAGGAGATTACCTTATTGCGGCATGGTCTGAGCTTCCAAGCAGTGCTCTGGTACAGACTGAAAATTTTTTTAGTTATTGGCAAACATCAAGTCTAGGGTCATTTGTAACTTGGTTGGAGACTGCACGATGTTCATCAATGCGATATTTGTAATAAAGTAGTGTCGTATCAAGTGAAGTTGACGACAAAAACGCACAAAGAATAATCTGAATGTTCAACGACGGCACTTATGAAATCGTCATAAAAGTTTTCAGTCTCAACTGGGAAAATGTAAATGTTGGCCAATATGATCGAACGATAGCCGCTCAAGTATCGTAGAGGACCTATGAAATAAAGAATAAGAAGAGGGAGAGAAGGGGGACTTACCTGAAAACCTTAATGCTCTAAGCAAACATTCAGGGTCAAGGCGAAGCATCAATGTTCAGATGGCTGATGTACTGCTGGTGATGATGAAGTATCGTAGATTGGTTCAGGATAACAGTCAATGACGAAAAATAATTTTTTCGACGTGCACCATGAAGAACTTCTGTATATGATAACGCCACCACCTGTACCTGTATGTACATGCACAGTCAGCGCGATGCGCTGTAAATCCAGCAAGTGTCACAAAGGTATCATCCACGTCGTCGTGTGGCTAGGTTTCTAGTAGCATAATGACACCAAGTCGAGAGTATTCACGACAACTTGTTATACTCTTGAGCTCTTCCAATTTTCTAAAAGGTCGACGTGTATCAGCACTGATCAAAATAGGTATGCTCATACAACAGCTTTTCTCTTCTATGTGCAACCCGCTGCGAAAATGACAAGGTAGCAAGAAGGTTCGGGATATTTTCGAACGCCGGTGTGATTTCAGGGTAACACTGTTCGTCTCCTTAACATCACAGCGTATTTGTTCCAGAGAAACTAGTTGCAATTTGTCATTCCAGTTGAATAAAGAGTCTGGAAAATTGCGTGGTACTTCTATTTGAAAGTATGACATAGAGAAAGAAAACTTGGAGAGCGCGAACTTGTCTAATATAGGGATTTCATGGAATAGCCCGCGACTGTTTTGAGATCAGTAATTTTTGCCGTGTTAATGCTAAATCAAGAAGATGAAAGTCCCCAGGAAAAGTTTGATAAAAGTATACCGGAACCACTCGGTCCGAGTAATATTGATATATTTGTCGGTGTAAGTCCCTTATAGTGGGAGAGTCCATGGTGCACTGGTTATGGTACCTAAATCCTGACAAATCGTCGACTCGCTGCTGCTAATGTTGTGCCGTGAACTCCTGTCCCGGCTGCCTCTTTGTGGCGATCGCTGTGTGGAAGCTGGATTACACCCGTCCTCTAGCTCAGAGCCAAGACACACACAATTCCGCATGAGTCGGTTCATTGAATCATGACGCATTCTTCGCTGCCTTTCGGGTGTACATTTTATCGATGGCTTTGGCTGAGGAGCCGAGTTGTTCTCCTATCATGTGTGGACGCCCTGGCAGTATCATAGTCCGACCCCCAACTATGAATCACGTCATTAATAATACAATCCTTGCTGCATCGTCAATCGCGCAACGGTGGGGGAGCGAAAAGGGTCGCCTTATTTGCTGCATACAGCGGTGTGGATAAGCGAAGACATGCTAGGGCTGACGCCGGCCTTCTTCACCTGCACATGCTCTTCCTGTCCCTGTTACAACTAACACCTTACTTCTTCCAACACACGTCACCATACGAGCGAGTGTCTGCCACCGAAATCGTACGCCTCCGCGCAAAGCCCCAACATCGGTTGCTGGGACGTGCGCACACCACTCGACCGGAACAAGAGTGAGCGCCCTGAGCTACACGCTGCACTAGTCACGGTGGAACTCGTGCGCTACGGGATCGACGTTGCCGCACCCAGTGAAATTCAGCTCATCGACCAACGCAAGTTGCATGGAGCTGGTTCAGGTTTCACATTCTACTGGATGGGAAATGCCACCACAGCACCACGTAAAAATGAAGTCGGTTGCATTATCCGACTGCCTAAATAGCTAGCTGCTGGGAGCGTTGGGAACGCAAAGCAGTGCACACGAGCTATGCATTGGATAACCCACAGCTAGATATTATAAAGGACCCATCACACCTAATCGGGCTTATTTGCCTACGTCGTTCATGCTACCTTTGTGACTTTCTGTTCTGCCGCCCCCCTTTATTCGCAACATATCGTTGGAGGTAGATTTCTTAACAACGCATTCTTCGTCTGCGGCGATCAACTATTTCTCTGATTTCCTTGCGCCTACTCGTTTCCATACAACTACTCATTAGTAGCGCACCTTGCTCCTGGCCCCCGTATTTCCCGCGACAGTCGAACTCCCAGACAGTCTCTCCGACCTACGAGACTGGTCCATTCATTCAGTGATCACTTATCATCGTTCGTACTACATCCTTATTTCGCTAAAATGAACTCGCCATCTATCTTCATACCGAACGATGGTGTACACGGGCCCTCGTCGACTGATTAAGTCATGCAGTCCCTTCCACTACAACAAGAGTTTCCAATCCCAGGAGTCACATGTGGCCGCACTTTGGTGATCTTTGTAATTCACCTTCGAACCGATTGGAAAGTCTCCGGACGGTTTCCTCATGTTTACTCGGGCATTTTTCCAACACCCGGTCCGGAGTTGCCCTCAAATTTCGGTTCGCTATTTTTCTGGTAGGTTGGCCTAACTCCCACCTCCAGGTCCACAGAAAGTCAAGGTCTGCGGCCATACATTAACTGGAATGAGGATGTCGTAGTACTTATTTGCTTTGATGCGCCGTGTACTAGCACGAATGGTGGTAAAGCTTTTTCGCAATTTCTCCCCTTCGTTGCCGGTCATGTTTTAATCATCCTATTATTGCTCACCGTTAATCCGTTCGTCTGGCGATGGTAGGGACTGTTTCGTATCTTCTTGATGTCCAGTTACTTCAAACATATCATGTTTTCGTCACTTTCAAACCATGAACCCTGCTCTGTCAGTATGGTCTTCGGAAGCCCGTGGCTCGCTATCAGGTGTTTCATCAAAACATGTTATTGTTCCGCGACTTCAGTCCATCGGGTGAAGTGCTCGATCATCACAGCTATGTACTGATTGCTCCA